TCTTTCCCTGGCAGAAGCTGAGTGCCCCATGCTGCCCTTTGAATCCTGTTGCCCTGGGCCCTCCCAGCCATAGCCAGTCAAAAGAACCTCTTATGCAGGAAAACGAGCATTTACCTGTAAGGTCTCATGGTCAGATTTGGATAATTCTTGTCTCCTGTAGTTTTCCAGTAATTCATCCATACGTTTAACATTCTCAGAAACCTCAGTGATGGTATTCACTCTTCTGGACAGCTTAGCTGACTTTTCTTGTTCCTTTGATGAAAAATGAAATAGAATCAGATGATGATTGGGCTAATACAGCCAGTGCACATGCTTTGCTGGGTGACTCTGGATCACACTTGGGGAATTGCTTCCTATTAGTATCTTATTGCAGGTAGAGGAGACACAAGGCAGCGGGGGTAAGGACTCACCCCTCAACAGCTCCGGGATCAGTGCTGCACCACACCTCCCTGTCAAGGGTGAAGATGGATACCTCCTGCCCTTCTCAGGGCACCCTGCCCCAGTGCTGGTGCATAAGAATTCATTTCAACACAGGCACGAGTAAAACTTCAAAATTAGAGTTGGGAGTTGGTGGCTTCTGCCATACAGAAGGACACTCTCAAGATGATGGCAGGGATTTTGTTAAACCAAACCCAGTCTCCAATTTATGCAGAGAAATAGAGTGCCCTTTCAGATGGAAAATGAAATCAGACACACTAGATGTGAGCACACATACTACGTGCAGAAAAGAGGCAGTTCTGTAGAGGTGTGGCTTTTTTCCACCTGGGAACTGATTTTCTTTTTGGAAACTTTCTATAGCTAGTGCAGTATGACTGCCAGGATCCCACTAACGTGGAAGTGTCCTGCCACACAGGCTCCTGGATATAAATATTCCCTCTTCCTGGCAATGGCATATTTTAGGGAAACAAAACAAAACAATCCCACACCATAACTTCGGAATAACAAATACTGAAAATCATCCCTCCTCTGGAGCAGCATTGTGGAGATCAGGTATAGAGGACCCACTGTCAAAAAGTGAATTGCCAAGTCCCCTCCCACCCTCCCTGGCGGCAAACACACCTTCTGATCCAAGGAACTGCCTACCTCTTTAATCATGCTCTTGATCAGACGGTTGGCAGCCTGCAGGTCTTCAGAGTGGTTGCTCTTTAAAAGCCTCGCTAAGAGCTGTTGAGGGGAGAGCATTGGACAGTGGTGAGCAGCAGTCTCTAGGCACTATACTACAGGCACATATCACGTGAGAGCAGGTATCGAGAGACATCCACTGTCGTAATAGTTTCTATAATCCTGGAAATATGTGGGCTCATGTCCCATAATTTAATCCAGATTATACTGCTGCCTCATACAGCTGCTTGCACACACGGCTTGGCTGTTTGGGAATAGGAACTATCTGGCTCTGCAGAACTTCTCTAAGACCTGGAGAAACCCTCTCTCAGGAAAGTTTAATAGAAACTAATGTTTTTCTGTAAAAAACTTTCACTTTTTACTAAGCAAAAATTTCTGACAAAGCATCAAAGAATTCTCTACCTATTGTACAGCAAGACGTATTAGTATTATTCTGAAGATATTCTGTCTGAACAGCAAAAGTCCCCAAAATATGACTGAGCCTGTTTCCTCATCAGTACAAATCAGAGGGGGGATAGGCAAGAAACCCCTAAGGTTTACCTTGGATTTCTCTTCATCTGTGTCAAAAATAGAATTCTGAGGTCTTGGGGAAGGGGGAGGTAAAATTTTGTCTTCTGGTACTTTGGGGTCTTGTTTTACAATCCCTGGAATGGATAACAATATTTGTTCAGTGATGCCTGAGCTGTTAAAACACCAGTCCTCAACAGTACATTGCATTTTGCCCCTAGTTCTTTCACTCCTCCCCAGAACTTTACAGAATGAGATGGAGAAGCAAGGAGTTCCCGTAGCACACACCCAGACAAAAGACTTCCCTTTCTCCCTTGAATTAAGCAAAGGCCAAATGAGATTTTCAAGGTAGAAAATAAAATTTGGATGTTCTGAGCTCCGTCTGGGTGAATTGCTGAAATCCCCCCATAGCAAGAGCACCGAGAGCGCACCAGTATTGACCTCCGAGCACGCAGGATTGCCGCAATCAGTACGGCCATAAAATGTAGGGCACAAAACACACACAACTGAATACCAAAGGAGCCCTTAACCTGAGCAGTGATTCTATGGATGTCACCACTCCTGCCTCTCCGGCCAACACCTGCAGCAGCAGCAGCCGACCGTGCAGGCGTTGGATGGGCAGTGGACCCTGAGAGCAGCCTGGCAGGAGGGCACCCAGCACCCCTGCTCAGCACCCCAGCCCGTAGCAGCCAATGCGCGAAGGAAAAGCAGTGATGGTGAGAAAGCTTTCCACAGCAGGACTCGGGGGAAGGCTCGCAAAGCCATTTGATGCTCAAAGACGCACAAAGCATATATGGTGGGAAGCATCTAAACAAATTCCTTAATTCCCCTGAACTTCCACAGAAAGCGTTATGGCATTTTCTTAGTTAAGTTATGAAATTTATTACCTGGGATATCGAGATGGGATTGCACAAATTTCTGGGTGACAGCAAGGACTATTAAATATGATGGAATGGATGAAAAATCCAGGTCAGGATCTCTCTGAACCCATCCCTCATAATCCTGGGAGAGTATTCCAGGGCAAAGATCACTCTGAGTTTGTCCTGTACCTCTTCGCTGCACAACAGTGGTGAGCACAGAGGCCACAAGGCGAGCCTGATCTTTGACTCAATAAGGCTGTTCTTTGGTAAATCTCTTTTAAGCCGTTACACGCATCCTTAAGTACCCAAACAGCCTTGTAAGTGTGGCCTTTGTCCTTTCATCCTTACACACAGCATTTTATGAAAAAAGCTGAGTCACAAAGTAAAGAGGACAGGTATCTGTGGTCTGAAATAATGTGACTTGAAGTCTAAAAAGGAAACTGAAATAACAGAACTAAACCTTGTTTCTTCAGCATCTGATAAGCATCCTGGATTTTAACTTCCTGAGGAAACCAGACTGTCCAACTGAATATTACTTCTGTGACTCTTGACTTGACTTTTTCTGAAGACCAGGTTCCATAGTACTGAAAAGAAAACAAAACAAGAAAGTAAAGTGAGACAAAAAAGATTGAAGCCAAAGAATTAGTGCCAGATATGGCATATGAGTCTAGTCCCAAGCTGTTTGTGTGCAGAGGCCAAGTAGCAAACGGGTACCTAACACTTTATTCACAGTGTTGTCAACTGCGTATCTTGTGGTATAGGAAATAGTGCATATAGCTGTGGCTGTTAATACAAAGAATGCTATTAAGGGTATGACAATTACATAAATAATATATAACAATTAAAATGAAACCACTTCAAAACTTCTCTGATCAGTTGAATCCGAAACCAAAAGTAGACTGTTTAATTTTAGTGAAAACAGTTTTGTGCTCAACTTTAAATACTTCCCTGAACCACTCGCAATGCAAATAGCACCACTAGCCTCAGCTAGCCCCGGCCAAATGAAAACTGAACAAAACAAGAAATGAAAGTAACTGTCTTTTTTCAGCATCTGGATGTTTTCTCCGATTTCTCTCATTATTGCCTATGAACATGCACTTCTATGTATTATAAAAACATCAGGAAGAATTAAAAGCTGCACACAAACCCCCAAAAGACGAGGCATTTTAAACTCATTAAATAATACCTGTTCTGTCAAAACAGCAAACAAAACTCTCTGTGGTGATATAGTCTTTAAACTTTTTTGTTTCACTGAAATACCTTTACCAAGCCTGGGACTGAATGAAGAGGTTTTTTTGTTCAGTTAAACATTTCTCCGAAATCAGCTTTTTGCACCTCTGCCATCGAGATGATGTAATGGAAAATGAAGCCTGTATAAGCGGTAAATGTGTGCAGGACCCGCTAAAAAACGGAATCGATTACTGAGTTGCTGATAAGGGTATTTAAGAAAGTCCCATGCCTGCTATTTGATGCAGAGAGAAGCTAGGCACGAAGATCACACAGTCTCTGATAAAACAGGTCTCCATTTTTCATCATGAGAGGCGCTGCCAGGGGACCCAGCGCATCCACTCTCAACTCGCAGCTCACTTAGCTTCTCAGACTAAACTTCTCATTTCCAATGGCTGCTTGGCTGCTTCTCTTCTCAGGAGGCAGCGATTGCACTCAGAAGTGAAGTGCTCCACAGCAGGGAGTGGGAATGAATATATTGAATGAATATATTGCGAGCCAGGGAAGCGGAGCAGCAGGAAGGGACTTTGCAGCTTCCACGTTAGCTACAGCTGATCCCTTCCAGCCTCCCCCTGACTCGGTGCTGTCACCGCCCGGGGGCTGGGAGCCCTCTGCCCGGTTTTCAGGACATCCTCGGCAGGACCCCAAAGGGGCTGTGTGAACGCACCACTGTCATGCGATGGCAGAGCAAGGGCTGCACAAGGGCTGCAACCAGTGCTGCTCAAGTCCAGTCTGCCCTGCGACTACTTAAACTGAACCTGCCCATTGAACAAGACCCAAAGCCAGGCTAATCTTTGGCAGGAGAAAGCAAGAAGGAAAGCAGCCGGAGCACAAGTGTTTGAGGATAGAGCATAAGAAAACATGGGAGAGGCTCTGGGCAGCTCCTGGCATCTCTGTCCTCCGCCACCTCCCCGACCAAAGTTCTGTAAATCATTGAGAGGCGAAAGAGCCACAGGCTGAGAGGTCACAGGAACAATTTCAAGCTCCTCTAGAGTCCCTGACTGTCCCAGCAGAGCTGGGAGAAACCACAAGGAAAAAGCTTTTCACAGAAAGAGCCCCTGGCTTACATCTTTTACAGGGGCATTCACATCCAGTCCTTATGCTTGGAGGCACAGGACGAATTCTGCTCTACTTCTGTGTGAGCTTAATTCTAAGTTTTCATATCTGGCACAAAATAAACAGTGTGTCCCACCTGCAATATCCAGCGTAACCACAACCACCTACCTTTGGGGAAAGAACTTTAATCAGCTCATTCAGAAACCTGAATTTTGCTATTTCATGGTGAAATCTTTCACCGCAGTTATTCACACAGGTCTCTAGCACCTGCAGAAAACAAAACAGTATCAAAAAGAAACTGTACACACAAGTCTTGGGGAATTTTTAAAAACTTTGCCATTATAATACTAAATCTAAGAGCTTTCTGGCACTGCATTTACAAGTACAAGACACCGAGAAAGCTGTGAAGCAATAACATGTAGTTTTCCTTCATCCAACCTTCTTAAGCAGCACGTTTAAGATGGTCTGCTCTGTTCTACCCATCACTAATAACTTTTGGGCCCCTGACCCTATGGTGGGACCACAGGTCAAACAGCAAGAGCTGCAGACCACTGGAACACCTCAGCACAGCAACAAGGGAAGGAACAACAGCAGTTCCTCCCTCCATTATACCCTGGTTTCTGTATTCCTTGTGCAATGGAAGGTTAAAAGGAAGCGATATCTAAGAGAAAAAGAAGAGACAGCTATACTCTCTACTCCCTAATCTCTATTTCCAAGTTCCTGCTGTCTCTCTTTGCATGCGGATGAAAGCACTTACTGTGAGAGCATGGAGAGCTTCCATCTCCTGAGGTGACTGTATTTTATGTGCCAGCAGTCTCGGTGCGAGCGACGGGCTGGGGAGTAGCAGAAGCAAGTCAGACAATGCACAAGTACCCAAGAAAAACAAATGCTGCTGATTTTGCCCTGCAGAGAAGAGCAGCCGCCAGATTCACAACCTGCCACCTGACAGCCACCCTTCCTCTGGCAGAGCGCTGGCCTGGGGCACACAGACGCGCACAAGGGGCGAGAGATGAATTGAAGCAGCTTTTGGGACCCCAGTGCTGTTCTCCGGCCATGTCCAGAGGCTGTCCTCTGGGAGGGAGCCAGCTGGGAGAGGCTGGGGACCCTCCCTGGGCAAACGCCATGAGACCTGGCTCTCTGCAGTCGCAGGAGCTTTGGTGCACAGCCCAAGACAGCCTGCTGACTTCTTCTGGGCACACGCGCGGCTCGGGGAGACGGGTGCCAGGCTTCGGGCTCTGAATGCACAAGGGTCTGCTCTAAAGAAACAGCTAAGCTTTGACACATCATTTGCTTAATTAGTTCCTGCTCCTTCCCACAGCGCCCAGACTGTCAGCTGGAAGGTGGGGAAGTCCCAGCAGAGATTGCCCACCTCTCTGAAAGATAAAGCCGAGGCTAAGCTCGCTCAGGGCTTCCCTGCAGAACCCCACGGCAGGTATCCTTGCTCGGTCTCCCAAGAGGCTGCTGAGGGCACAGCAGAGAGGACCTGCTGCCTCCTGGGTTGAAGCAATGGATGTCAGAGCCCATTCCTAGACATCAACCTCCACCACATATTGGCATACACCTCTTTGCACTCTCAGGAGCGGCAGAGCCCAGCGAGCACTCACTCCTAGCTCTCTCTCCAGGCTCCCCACACTGTGGCTTACAGGTCCCATTTCCCCGGCTCCGCAGCCACAAGAGAAGCTCAGAGCCAAACACACCGCCCAGAGCCAACACAAAGAGCTGTCTGTCTGCCTTACCCTTCTGTGTCGGCGTTCACCTGGTCACAGAACCGCTGGATGCATTCCCAGTTTTCCTCAGGGATACTTGGGTCAGTGGCCTTATCTTACACAAGAAAAAAGGGGAAAAAAAAAAAAGAAAGAAAAAACAAACAGCCTCAGTGCGAGAGGCATGCAAGTGAGCGGCACAAGGCAGGAAGCAGCTCAGACCTCGTGCTGCTACCAGCTGCTTTAGGACTTTTTTTTTGTAAAAAAAGGCAGAAATGGAAGACGCAGGACGAGCAGGAAACAGCTGTTACTAAAAATCTGCCTAAAAATACAGCCCTGAGTACACACCTAAAAGAGACAAAGTCAGGCATAAACTGAGGTGTTGAAAGCAGCAACAGCACGATGTTGCTTTTAGCACAGAGCACGAGAAAGTGCGAAAAAGCATTTACAGACAGCTCTCCCAGCACCGGACTGCAACCCTTGCCGTGCTGGAACACAGGCACGGGTTAACCTTTTGCAACAGGGCTGCAGGAGCGCCCATCCCAAAGCTTTGCCTGCACGGCTGAATGGAGCAAAAACAGTCTTTTTTTTTTCAGCTGTATCCGCTCCAGTGCATAAACGGCAGTGGCAGGATTGGGGCGGAGGACGGACAGGAGAGATGGGGAGCAGGAGAGATGCAGCAGGTTAAGACAGCACCCGTGAACATCACCCTGAAGGGGGTCCGTGGAGGAGATGGCCCCTTCCCCATGGAGCTGAAGCTGCTCCAGTGCCCACCCAGTTGGGGCCAGGGGCCGGGGATGACTTCGCCGCTGGCTCCGGCGCCGCTTCCAGCGGCGCCGGAG